CCCTGCATCCTCGCTTCTCTCCCTCTCTCCTCGCCCGCTGGGTGCTGAAGTTGGGCGGATGGCAGCAAACCGGCTCCGCTAGAGGACCCAGCAGCACAGCCCCGCGCCCCCGGACGCATCGGTGCGCTGTCCACACCTCCAGGGGACAGGGTAAGATGTTGCCACTAAACCGAGCGGTGCTAAGTAAATGACACCAAAATGTCTGCTTTGCAGCAATGAATGGAATTTTTTTCAAGGTAGGGGGGGAGGTGAAGGGAAGAGGGGGCGAAGAGTGCGACTGCCAGTGGCCCCGCGGGGAAAGGTGCCCGCGCGGGGGTCTCGGGGCTGGCCACGGGCGGGAGCGGGGGCCGCGCGGCAGGTCTGGGAAGTTGAATCCCGCGTCGCTGCCCGGGCTCTGTCCGCTCGCCGTCCTCCAGCTGTGGCGGAGGGACTGGGCGAGTGTCTTGCCCGCCCAGGGAACCCTCGGTCGGGTCCCCGGAGTTTCCGGGGCGCCCTCGGGGAACCGGTTGGGAGGGCCGGGCTGGCGGAGACCCCGCGGGGGCGCCAGGTCCTGCGGGTTTTCTTTGGTTGGTTGACAGGGAGCACAGTGTGAAAAATCAACAGTGTCTAATCGACAGATCACCTCGAGCGCTATCTTTTTTTTTTTCTCCCTTGTCTTTTCTTTACCTTTGGGAAAATGCACTATTCGGGTGGAGAAGGTGTAAAAAACCCATTGTGCAAAAAGGGTTACAAAAATAAATCGCTTGAGCAACGGTGAAATATTCGAGGTGTGTGTGTGTGTGTGTGTGTGTGTGTGTGTGTGTGTGTGCAGGGGATGGGGGACCCTTTTGTTCTTTCCCCTCCCCTTAATCTAAGGAAAGGGAGTTCTGGTGTGCACGGCACGGGGTGGATTTCACAGCCACCGAGGGGGCGAGGACGAGGAACGCCCACCAAACCCAGAACCGCTGCCCGGGTGGGTGTAGCTGAGCCTCGTTTGCTGTGGGTGATGATGGTTCTTCCTATTACCGATGGAATCACAGTTTAATAGCTGCCTCCTCGCCAGCCGCCTCCCCTCTCCCTGTTCATGTGCCGCTGCAGAGGCTGGGTGCAGACACTCGGCCGTTTCCTCCTCTTCTCCCTGCCTCTCTGTCTCCCTGAAAAATGCTGGAGGACTTGAGGATGGCGGAGGGGCAGAGCCGACCTCGGAAGCAGCGGGTGGGGAGACGCTCCTGGCGAGCGGGAGGCTGCAGGCATCGCGTCCAGGGCAGCCCGCGCCAGCCTCGGGGGTTCCTGGGCTCCTGGAGACCGAGCGGGGGTCGCCTGGCCAAAGGATGCCCAGCAGCCCTGCGGGACCCGCCCTACCCCCTCGCCTCGCTGGGAGACCGGGACACTGGCTCACCTGGGAGAACCCTGGTCGCCCGGGGAAGACTGAGCCTGGCTCTCGGCATAGTTTTCCTAACCCCTCTGACCTTTCCATGTATGCTTCTTTCAATAGTCACTAGAAGGTTTGTCTGCAGAACTTTATAAGCTTCGGAGTTGTTTCTTTTTTTCCTTAAATTGTTTTACATTGAGATTTCTTTCCATAATTGGATGGCTATCTCAAATAATAAAGGGAAATCTTAGTATAGTTCCCATCTAAAATAAGCATTTTTGAGAGATGCCATCTGCATTTCCGGCGTTCATACATACTGGTTTTCCCGGTGATGAACCTTCCGAAAATCATTTAATTGGGGGAAATGAGAAATAATTTTTACCCCTGTAATGGAAGATAATTTTTTTTGTTGTTGCTGTTTTGTGTTCTTAAAGTCTTGCATAGTAATAGTAGCAGTTACCCATGATATATACATTATAGCTTTTGTATCTAATGAAAAGGTGATTTGTACTCATTAATTCAAATGAATGAGAAGTTTGACCTTCTTTGGTTAAGTTACTATTGTTAAGCTATTTCTTTTGTTAACATGAACTAAAACAGTAATTAACACACTCATGGGAGAATAGATGTATTCACTATTTTTTTTTATAATCTCAAAACCTATATTTATGGCAACTATGGGAAAGTAGTTTATTTACAGTTTTTGGCAATGAGAAAAAAAGTGTTTATTATTACAAAAAGATTGGGTGGTATTATTTATTGGATTAAATGAATCTCCATGGTAATGACACCTGATCTCAGAGCCATGGGCAAATCATTCTTCCTTCTGAAATTGTAATCTGAAAGATTATGGAAATCATCTAATTTATAGAACAAATGACATAAGGTGCTTGTTATACCAGTTTAGACCATTTTTCTCTGTTTCTTCAACTGTGCCTTGGTGTTTAGAACCCATGGAAGGGAATTAACAAAAAGAGTTAATTTGCTGTTCCATTCAGTTCTAAAGCAAACAGCATTTCCTCCTCAAACAGGTATCTTTTTGGTTTTAGTTCATTTGAACTCAGAATGTTGATGGTCTAAGTCTATTATCATTCCATGACTTTTATACTTTTGTATAATAATAATAAACCTTCTTTCATATTTATTACCAGCGGGGCTAGGGGCTTTGGGAAAAACTATATATTCTTACCTATTTGACTTTATTGTAACAGCAAGTAAAAATGAATAATGTAGATCTAAATTCAAAAATTTGGGTTGACTCATAGACTAAAGCACAAGAAAGAATTTACCTGTTAATCTAAAGCTGTAGAAGTAATGACCTTTGCATTAGAAGTCTATCTGCTGAAATATATGGGCTTTCCTGGAAAAGTGGAAGGTTGTCCTCAGTAATGAGGTATGGAGTTAACAGGAATGGGTAGCCACATGAGTGCTGAGAATTCTATTCCTGATCGTCTTCCAACTCTGCTTACTTTCCAGTGAAGATATTGCAGTACTCAGAAGGGCAAATTCAAAACTGCTGTATACTCAGTGGGTGAGAATAATGTTATATGATGTTAAAAGCATTTTATTTCACCTGATTGCTATAGTTAGAGTACAAGTGTGAATGTATTGTGGCACTTAAAATTGTATGACATTTCCAGGGGATGTGGTGGGTCCTCAGATAAATAAGTTTTTATAGAAAGCTTTTTAAAAATAAAACAATCCTTTGCTATGGGTAGCTAAGACTTTCGGTGCTCGATTGTTGGATACTCCCACCTTCCTTCTCTAGCCCCATCTCTTTACTTATCCCCGAAAAACACTTTCCTCACTTCCAAAGAAACTTGTTTAGACTACTGTCCCTGCTATCGTACCAGCACCTAGCACAGTATCTGGCAAAAGGCAGGTGTTTAAAAAAATAATTCTTAAATGAATAAATTTTACAGAATAAACATGGCTCACAAAAGTCTTCTAGGATCGGAATTGCATTTTTTAACAGGACACTCATGCTATTTAAGAAGTACACAGTTTAAGATCCTATAAATCATGTTCATGGCCCTATCCTTAAAGGAAGCAATCTTCAGAACTGTCACTTTGTGAATATGTATGTCTGTAATGTAACATTTAAATTATTAATTTGTTTCCAAATTACAAAAGCATGAACTGTTTATTTCAGATACCCTAGAACACATAAAAATGTATGAAACAGAAAATGAAAATTACCTGTGGGCAGGCATGAGTGTGGTGAGCACAGATTTGGAGTCAAACTGACTTTAGTTAGTACACTGGCTCCTTCCTTTAATAGTTATTTTGCCTTAGGCAGGTTACTTACCTGCCCTGAGCCTCAGTTTCCTCAGATATACAATGGGGATAAAAGATGAATGCAAGTATAAATATAATGCATTGTATATAATGTGCTGAATATAGTGCCTGCAATGTACTGAGTACTTATTATCTCAAAGCCTAGAGAACTGCTATTGAAAATACAGAGCAGTTTACCACCAGCTCATTTACTTTATACAAATGTACTATTTTTAAATAACTAGAACTTCATACTTGCTTTTTAGAAAATTAACAATACTGTGTCGCTGTCTCTGAAGAAATTAAAATGGATATTTTTCATATAATTTAGTAACTACAAAATAATCATATGAATTTTTAAATCTATTTACCCATTCTTTCATCACTGGATTTTTACCATTCTGCCCAAATTTCATATACATATTTTTATTGCAGCTTTTCCTTTAGACTTGGTGCTTAGAACATCTAATTCTTGCCAACATAATACAATCTTTTAAAAAGTCTTTGCTAACTTGTTAGGTGAAAATAGCATTTTTCAAACTTTATTTCTTTGGTTACTAATAAGACAGCTTTTTTTTTACATTATTGCTTATAAGCAATTTTTTTTTTTTTTGCCTTTGAGGATAACTTGTTTAAATCTTTTGCTGTATTTCCATTAGTATACTGACATGTTTTTCTTATTTGTTTGAGTGCAAATATTAATTTTTTTTATTAAAGGTAAAAGCAAACAAGGAAAGGATATGCTTAGTGGCAAAGACGACATGTGGCAAAGACTACAAAGATCATTGTGGCTAAACGAGAAAGTCTAGATCAGCCAGATGATCAGACCTGCCAAGGTGTTCATCACACTGTGTTATGGTACCTGGGCTTTCTAATTTCCACAGGGCCTTTTAGAAGTCCAAGGTCACCAAATAGTTTGCACACAGATGCCTTACCATGAGAATCTTGTACATGAAGAGTTATCAGATTTGCACAGATTTTTTCCTGCCAATTGCCAGTGTTGCAGAACTTTTGCATTTTCCTGAGATAAATGGGGTTGGAAGGAAAAATGGGAGTAGGTGGTGATTCTAGGGACATTAACAGATTTCTCATCAGAATGAAATCAATCCAGCTTAATTATAAAACCATGTCAGGTTAGAATCATACCTTATCTCAAATTTTAAGCTCCAGGTGAAATTTAAATATTTAAAAGGTAAGAATTTAATCTATTAAATTAATGAGTTCTGTGTCTGTCCTGCAATGTTTCACATGATCCATTGGTTTTGTAAGCTCCTGGTTTTGACTTTTTACATTCTATGACTTTTGACAAATTTGGTTTCAAAATTTCAGTTACTGAGCTTGGAAATTCTGTAAAGCCCTTAGGTATTAAACTACATAGAAAGTGTAAAATGTTTTGATCATCAGTGGTCCCAGTTTATCAAATACAGTAAAACCTCAGTAATTCAGAAGCAAAGAATCTGGAATTTATAATGACGTCAGGTACCTGTGGCAGAAGCAATGATCTGTGGTGGAAAATAAAATC